TTCTCAGTGTCATACTTACTAAGTTTCTGAGGCTGGATTTGAACTCAAGTCTTCCTGACTAGGGCAGCTAGGTGGCTCAATGGATGGAGTGCCAGTCCTAGAGAGAGGAAAACAGATCTTCATGAGTTCAAATCCATCACTAGCTGTGTGATCCTGGGCAAGTCACTTAACCCTGTTGGCCTCAGTTTTCTCATCTGTAAAATGAACTGAGGAAGGAAATGGCAAACCCCTCCAGTGTCTTTGCCAAGAAAACCCCAAATGGGGCCACAAAAAATCTGACATCACTGAAAAACAACTGAACAACAACAAAATGTCCTGACTCCAGGCTCAGTGCTCTATAACTGAACTCATGAGAGCAGACGAAATGACCAATGGAGAGAAAATAGTCAAAGAAGGGGTCCCGAGAGAAAGCCTTAATTTCAGTCTTCTCTCTGACATCATTCAGGGGCAGTTAGGCAGTATATTGGACAGAGCCCTGGACTTGGGTTCAGGATAACCAGAAATTCAGATTCTGCCTGAGATACTTACTAGCTTTGTGACCCGAGGAACCATCTAACCTCTATCAGCCAGTTTCTTTCTCCATAAAATGGACAAAATGACAGTATCTACTTTCCCAGGGGTATTGTGAGGATTAGATGAAATAATATATGTACAGTGCTTTGCAAACCTTAAAGTACTATGTAAACGTTGTATATTTTTTGTCATTATCATTATCATAATTTATGTTCAATCCACATTGAGTGGCAGTTCTGTCCCTTTTCTTATCCTCTTTTTTCCAATGTATTTTAAAACAAAACAAACCCCTTTTGTTATCCTTAGTTTCACTCATCAGCTTCCACTCACGCTGAACTTCAGCACTCTTTATACTAATCTCACAAGACAGTATCATGCTTTTGTGTTTATTCTCAATTATCTGCCAATGATTCCATCTTCTTTACATGTCCTTTTGAAATATAAGGTGGTCATAGTCTCTTGTGCATACACAAATCTTTTTTTAGACAATTCCCTTTTCCTTTCCCCATGAGAATTGTTTCTCTTTATGTCTTCACAGTTTGAGCATTGAGATCTTCCTTTCCAACCTCTATTCTATTCCCCTTTAGAATTCAAGACTGTGTACCTGTCTTTTCTCTGAGCCCTTTTTAATTCTATAGAAGAATTCTAGGATGGAGTGTCACTTCCTTCCAAGGTGCCCATCATTTCCACTTCAGTAACTCAGTTCCTCTTTGATGTTTAGTCAGGCCCAGAGAGGAGAGGGGAGGAGAGGGAAAGTTCCAGCAGATGTCGGGGTAGTTTAAGCCCCTTAGTCCCTCATCACTATTTTATCATGTATACATGCCATCCTTCTAAGCTGTTGTCCAAAGTCCTCATCTATTCCCTTCTTCTGTCCAAGTTGGCTATAAAATACTCTCATAACATTATGACTTCTCTCTAATGACATTCACAATACCTATTTTGCATTATTTTTATCACAGTTGTTTTTTATTTGCTTCAGTACCTTACTGGAACATAAGATTCATGAGGTCAGGTTGTCACATAGCTAGTTTGTGCTAAAGCTGGCACTGGGATCCCCAGACCCCTGTCTATGAGCTTGTGCCTTTTTCCATTATACTAAGTTGCATCTTACCATGCCACCCTACTAAAATCAAGTCATCTTGGCATTGGCAGTGTCACCTATTCAACCCCAGTCCCTCTGTGTTTTGTTTTTTCTATATAGGAATGCGTCAAGGTAATGACTTTGGCACTCGGTACCGTTCTGCTATCTTCCCAACCACTCCAGAACAGGCAGAAGCAGCTCTGAAGTCCAAAGAGGATTACCAGAAGGTAAGAGTGAGCAGCGTATAAGTTGGTTGTTGGGTAAGACTGGCTCATGATGTGCACACAAGGCCTTCTTCAGACCTGTGCATTTCACCAGTGGGGGCTACAACTGCTTTAAGCCAAGATGTGGTCTTAGCTGTACTGTTGACTTTCTCATCCATAACTGAGTTCTGTTTGCAAGGTTTATCAAAGATTATGCCAAGTACTTAGTTGTTCAATGATGGCACTGAACTGTGTAGCTGTAAAGAGAAAGAAAAATATTAGACCCTTGTGTGTTTCTGGGTTTGTGCCTTTAAAATAATCTTTCTACTAGATCCACTACATCATAATCAATGAATTGAAAAATATTTGTGTTTTCTGTTACAGTAATACTTCTCTTTGACTTTTACACATCCTTTAAAAATCTTTCACTAATAGAGGCCTAGATCTTCAAAAAGTCAATCTGAATCTAACAGTTTTTTTTTTTTTAATTCCTAGTATATGGTGTAAGTCTTGACGACCACACTTAGTTACTTTCATGATTGGGGGTTGGAGAATGTAGCTAACATTCTTATGCATCAAAATGATGGATATCTTGGGATGATGCTCTGACTCATCACATTTTGAAGTATCCCACTCCTTACCACCCCCCACCGTATTGCCTGCCTGACTTTGCTTTGTATTGATCCTCCTAGTTTCTAAACTGTTGCTCCTGATATCTATCATATGGCATCTTCTTGCCTAACCCCAAGATCTGGTGACTTGCTGACTGGTGAATTGCTGGATTTAATATTTGGACTATCACATAGAGATCACATAGAGAGAGCTGGAAGGGACCTTAGAGGTCACCTAGCCCAACTCTCCCACCCCACCCCACTTTTACAAATGAGGAAACCAAGGCAAAAGGAATTTAAATGTCTTAACCAAGGTCACTCAAGTGATAAACATCGGAGGTGTCATCTGAATCCAAACCCAGCACACTCTCTACTACATAACTAACTGTTGATTCACAGTCTCTGGCAATGAATTCATTGTTCTCCAGTTTCTTCAGGGTTTGTTGACTCTTTCAGTCTAGTTATCATTATTGCCCCTTTGGTTTTTTCTGTAATGTTATAGTTGCTACTGTTGCATTGGTCAGCATTGATGATAGTAAAATTATTATCTCTAATAATAGCTGTTGAAAGGGTTAAACAGTTAGCTGTGCAGTTGGCTATGTATGCACTAGGGTGAGAAAGGAAGGGACAGCTACCAGGGATGGAGCAAACCTCTGGTCAAACAGGGAGACAATGAATGATTTTTTGCTAGAAAATCAGAGCAGGTGAGAGACAAATCACTACACCGCATAAGGTATGCTGTAATATTAGTTGCCATTTTGTGAGCTGTATAGTGAAAAATCTACTGCGCACACGCAAATCAAGATATAACCCTGATGATGTCATTGGTCCTCTTTGAGAACAAAGGGTGAACAAACAACGTGAGAAATGCATTGTCAGAGTTAGAAATGATGAATGAATGAGTGGATGAATGGGATCGTAGCTGAATGGGGATAGGAAGGTCAAGAGAAGGTTTTTGTTTTGTTTTAAGATTGAGAAGACCTGAACATGTTTGTTAACATATGGGAAGGAAACAGTAGAGAGGGAGGAGCTGATCCATGTAGGAGAGGGGATGATAGCAGGAGGAAGGTCCTGGAAGAGGCAAACAGAGTTGCAAGTAAGGGCTCAGATAGAGGAATTAGTCTTAGCCGAAGATATAGGAAGGAAGCTGCATTCAGAGGACCTACCATCTTTGTGATCTTGGGCAGTTTCTTCATCTATAAAATGAAGGGATTGGACTAGATGACCTCAAGATCACTTCCTTCTCCAAATCTATGATCTATGATTATAAGACAGCTTTTTGGGATTAAGCTGAAATATTTTGAGGCATTGGAGAGGAGAGGATCAATTTCCATCAAATAAAGAGACCAAGTCATACATAAATATGTGTTTGCAGAAGTGTGGTTAGGGGCTTAAGGAGAGAGGGAAAAGCTTGGAATAGTCACTGTATAGAATGAAATAGTGAACCAGTATGAATGGAGAAGCATTGCTAACCCGACCTGGAGGCCCAGCTGAGGTTTTGAGATTTATGTTCTATGAGAGCTTGGTTTTGTTATCTTCTCCGTCAACACTCAGAAGCCATGGAATAGGAGAGGAGAGATTGGATGATCGAAAGGGGCGACTCAGAGTTGAGGATTAGCTAGGTGGGAGCATCGAGCAGTCCAAGAAGTGAGGTATTCTAAGGATATGGCTAACAGATCATTAAAGTCCCGAGCAGAATACCTGTAGCATTCAATGAATCACATTACAAAAGAGGGGTTTCCTATCACTTTGAATTGAAAAGATATTCTTGTGTTCCCATTGGTAGCCCATAAAAAATTTTGTTGTTCTGATTATATTGTCATCTATAGTAAGTATTTTCTTTGGTTCCTTTTGTTATTAAAGAAACGTTATTATGGAAGAAATTAATGATGTTCTGTCTGCATTGTGGAGAAGGGGAGAGCTATAGACAAGCTGTTTACAGTACCATTCTCATTGTATTGACTGTAAAAAAAAATATTAGCCATATTTCCCTGCCGTCTAGGAGATTACAATTATAATCTTCATGATAGAGGCTCCCTCCTGACAGAAAGACCCTAGGTACACTCTGAGGACTTCTTACTTTGGGGATTTATTGCCTCCATTCAGATGAAACAAGAAATTAGGAGCTTCCTAATTTCGTCTTGTTAAGAAACCTGGAACTTGCCCAAGGGTGACCATCAGGTTTCTGTACAAGTAGTAAGGCTGACAACACTTCAAAAAAAGAATTTTTATAAGGAACCCAATCATACCTCCAAGAGCTGGAGACCCAACTCACCCCCAATACACACACACACACACCATGTATACCCCACATCCTCTTTGATAAACTATCATCCTTATGATGATGCAGTATGTACAGTATAATACAGTATTATCTTGGCTAGGGCTAAAGAAAGAGGGAAGTTCCATACCCCATGTTGTTGCTGTCCTCCTAATAGTCTGAGCCTTCAATGGTCTCCCTTCTATCCCGATTTCCTGCTTCATTACTTTCCTCTGGGCTTTGTCCTCCATTTATTGCTCCCTGGTACTTACTCTTTCACAGGCCTCCATTCCTGGCAGACATCTTAGTCTTTCTGACCAATATCACTGATCTCATTTTATTTTTGCTGCTTCCTCTTATTTTGTCTCCACCCCTACATTTTTTTCTGATCACCAGAAGATGATGCCAACAATTCTCAAGCAACTAGAAATGGAGGAATCAAACTGGAATCCCAACAGACGATGTTACATCTTTTTCAGGGCTCATAGCCAAATACCTCTGGTCTAGATATACCTTCTGTTTAACACAGAGGTCCCATAGTACATCCCTCCATTAAAAAAAAATTAGTCTCTTCTGGTGGCTGTGGAAATGTGTCTTTCTTGGATCACTAGTGGATATATATGTTTAATTTATGCTTTGTGACCTTTTATTTTTGTGATTTTTTATTTATTTATCATTTGTGTCCTTGACTATTGCCTCCCGTTGAATAATTTTGGAGTTTGAAATATAACTCCCATATGTTTGTCTTTATGACTATCCAAGAGGCAATTAAGTGATGCATTGGACCTAGAGTCAGAAAGACTTGAGTTCAAATTAAGTCTCGGATGCTTACTAGCTGTGTGACCCTGGGCAAGTCATTTAAGCTCTGTTTGCCCCAGTTTCCTCATCTGTAAAAATGGGAATAATAATAGCATCCACCTCCCACAATTGTTGTGTGAATCAAATATAATAGTGTTTGTGAAGTACTTAACACAGTGCCTGGCACACAGTAGGTGTTATATAAAGGTTAGCACGGTACATGATAGGTGCTATATAAATGTGTGAATGGAAAGAGAGAGATATTTTCACATCATTGTCTTCTGAGTTTGTGTCTTGAGCTCCCCTTTCACCATAGTAGTTAGGTTCTTTTTTGCTCACTTTTTCCAGCCTGCTTCTAGACTTTGGGGTTTATATTAGAGTTGGATTCTACTCACCTCTGTGGGTGGAAGGGGAGAATATCTGGCTTGATCTTTTGACTTTTATGTCCTGCTGCTTTCACAGTTAGGTCTGAGGTCCTGAAAGTTTTTGGTGCTTATAAGGTAGTGTGATCCAAGGAGAATTCTGGTCACTGCCTCTTGATCTATATTCCAGCTTTTACCTAACTAGGGCACCTGCCCCTTTGTGACCACAACTGCCCCTCTCTGCCCTGGAACCATGACCTAGAACTGGGGAATGGAGAATGAGGAATGGAGTTTCCAAATGGTGCCTCTTGCACCCAGTGCTGGCGCAGAGGTCCCCTGGACCTCTTTCTGGCCAGTTGTTCAATCTCCTTACCATCCCTGGGTGCTGGAACTAGGCACTCCCAGATCCACTAGAGCTGTTGTTGCCACCATCTCCAAGGCCCACCAGGCTGTGCTGATGGCCAGCCCCCACATCAGTGTCCACAGACCTCTTTTTTCTATTCTCCTCAGCTGCCCTAGACTGGAAAAAATGACTCACTGTAACTTTTTGTTGGTTTTCTTGCTCTGAATTTGGTTTTACACACTTTTAAAAATTGATTAGAAGAGAAAGCTCAGCAAAAATATTCATTTCATTCTGCCATCTTGGCTCCCCCTTCTCATTCCACATCACATTCAAAGAACAGTTATACCATATTTGTAAGATGTATAAGTAAAAACCAATTTTATCCCCAAACTTAAAGTGTGGTAGGATAAAAGCCTATACTTTCCTGCCTCTTTTTCTTTTTTCTTATCATTTCATAGTCCTGTAATGCTTTCCTTTCCATGTATGTTCATTTGGAAATACTAACTAATCTTTAAGGCTCATATTAAATGCTACCTCCTCCATAAGTTTTCTCTGATTTCCTCAGATAAGATTGAAAATAGGTTCTCTGTCTTTACTTATCTATGTCCTTCCCAAACTGTGGTGCTTAGAATTGAAAAAGATTTTCCAGA